CCTTCCTTCCTTCCTTCCTTCCTTCCTTCCATCCATCCATCTTGAAACGTTAGGTGAGTTCTTCCCCATTTATTTAACGAACATTTTATATGAGTCTTACTACATGCCATGTACATTATAATTCATTTTATAAATGTAATTCCCTGTAACTGTCCTATGAGTTGGATACTATTATGGTTCCCATTGCACAGATGAGGGAACTGCCTCAGAGAACTTTCTAGTGGCCCTATAGCCATATGCCATACCCAGTGCAAACTTTTGTGGCAGCCTGGAGGTAGGTATAAAGTTAAAAGCCACTGCTTCTGAGTTGGTCAGACATTTACCTGTAGAGCTGTGCTTTGTCTGTAAAGGTCAATGTAGTTGTGTGATCAGGATAATGGCCACAGAACACACAAGGGGTTTAGGCCTGACCTTCCTTGCCCCATTGGTACTCAATAACTTTTTCCTGCCTGGCATGCAGTCTGATACATGCACATATAGAGAAAAACACAGACACACACACATACACACACACAGAGAGAACATAGGTAACATTCATGCCACGGATTTAATGCAGAGTACAAAAGCAAAAACACAAACTTGAAACGTGGCGACATCTGAGTGTGACTTTAGCCTCTGCCACTTATTATCTGTTTGATCTTGAGAAGATCACTTAATTACTTGGAACTTTGGTTTTCTCCGCTGTAAAATGAAAAAGATGATGGTGGTTATAATAAAAAGTCTGATGATTGAATGAGATGATGTATTTGAATCTGTAGCTCAGTGATTTGCACATAGAAATGCTTAGAAATGTTTGTGATTATTAATATGTAAGGCTTTTTTATATATTAAAGATAATTCACCCTCTAGCATATATATAACTTGCATAAACTGAATTTTGAGAACCCAGAGCAATGCTTGTGTTTATCTGGGGACTTACTGTTTTGGATCTTGATGTTAGTTTTGTCTTCATCTTTGGCCATCCATGAGCCCTGATCAGCTCCATCAACATCAAGATTTAACTTTTGGTACCTAAATGTCTAACTGGCCTTGTGCAAATGCTAACCCTTCTTTGAGGTCCATGGCAAAGCCTAGCACCAGAATCCAGCTGTTTTTTTTTTTTTTTTTTGGAGACGCAGTCTTGCTTTGTCACACAGGCTGGAGTGCAGTGGCACGATCTCAGCTCACTGCAATCTCCGCCTCACAGGTTCAAGTGATTCTCCTGCCTCAGCCTCCCAAGTAGCTGGGACTACAGGCGCCCACCATCTTGCCTAGCTAGTTTTTGTATTTTTATTAGAGATGGGGTTTTGCCATGTTGGCGAGGCTGGTCTTGGACTCCTGACCTCAGGTGATCCTCCCGCCTCAGCCTCCCAAGGTGCTGGGATTACAGGTGTGAGTCACCCAGCCCAGAATCCAGCTTTTATGTGGACTACTGATGTGATTTTTTTCCCTCTCCCAGAGTGAGTATTTATGTTGCTGCTGTCCCATAGGAGGGTCCAGGGGTAGGGTTAAGGCAGATTCTACTTCACTGAAGGCCTGGAATGGTTGTTAATAGCTCCTGCTGCAGACACTGAGGCTTGCGCCAGAATTTTTAGTACTCTGTTTGTCAGACACGGGGTGCCAGCTTGAATGGCACTACTTAAAAAGGGTCATGGTAACCTGGCCAGCCCCAGGGAGGTTGCAGTGACATTGCATTGGTGTGCCTCTTCCCTTTTATGAACGAGGCCAAGCTCTATTAACCTGAAGGAGTATGATAGCGTTTTGCGGCCAAATAGCCTTCTCCACTTTAGTCGTCCTTTGAACTCTTATTAAGCCAGGGCAGGAAATGAAGAAGGAGGCAGAGAGACCCTTGAACAAAGGAAGGAAAAAGGAACATTCAATACAATTCTGACTCTGCACCTGAGGTCATACTTTGAGAGGAGGAATGGATCAGGGGTTTTATACAAGGCAGCAAGAGAGAGAGAAGAGTTTGGGGTCTGGAGTCAGAAAAACCTAGTTTTGAGTTCCGACTGTACTATCTTATATGTAGTATTGACCAAATCACCTCACTTCTCTGAAGCTTGTTTCCTTATCAACAAGATGGGAAAAGTAATTGTACCTATCTCAGAAGATTGGTATAAAAATTAAGCAAGAAAGTTCATGTAAATCAGTTAATCAGTTAGTTGTCTGGAATATTGTTATTTTTCTTCTGATTCTTGATTCAGGATGCCTGGAATATATTAAGTGCACATCATCAACATTTGCAAGGTTTTGGTGACAAAGAACAATAGGAAGAAACAGACTAGGGGAAATGAAAAGCAGTCTTGGGGTTTCTGTGCCATTCTCTGGGGTCTCCTTGTGATATCTCTTAGTCTTTTTCTTTTCTTTTCTCTCTGTCTCTCTTTCTTTCTTTCTTTCTTTCTTTCCTTTCTTTCCTTTCTTCCTTTCCTTCCCTTCCTTCTTTCCTTCCTTCCCTCCCTTCCTTCCTTCCTTCCTTCCTTCCTTCCTTCCTTCCTTCCTTCCTTCCTTCCTTCTTTCTTTCTCTTTCTTTCTTTCTTTCTTTCTTTCTTTCTTTCT